ATATACACGTTGATCCCGCCAGAAATGCCGCGTCCTTGTCACTTCCTGTGTTCTCAGCTTTTTTCTGTGAACTCCCCCCGTCTATGGTATTTAGATGAGGAGAGCGGGAGGTGTTCTGTAGTCCTGCCCTAGGGTGACAACACTGCTCCTCCACACAGTGCAGTGAGTGAGCGTTGTCACCCAGGGACAGGAAGTGTCACTGGCAGGATCGCCGGGTGAGAGTAAAGAAAAGGAATGCGGCCGCCGTGTCTAAGGACGGAAATGTTGCGATGTTACATTGTTGATACATTTGGATCAGGTGACACGAACGTTTCCATCCCCCGCCATTGTGAACGCAGCGCCCCTCATACTCCGCTCCCCCCTATGTGTCCTACACGGCCCTCCGCTCCTGAACGCAGACTAAACGGCTACTTCTATGTAAATTCTGACTTTTTGCCAAATGTCAACCGCAAAGCCCCTCCCACCACTGCTAACTCCTCCCCCCCAGCCACTCACGCATGCAGAGAGCAATGACGCAGGACAGTGACAGGAAGGATGGAGGCCGTGATTGACGGACGCATGCGCTCCCCCTATGGAGTTATTGGTGACTGGCTCGGTGATCTCTGTACGGCGCTGCGGTATATGTCGGAGCTATACACATGTATGATGGCAGTGTGCGGCCCCTGGTGGTCCCGGGAAGGGTTAAGCAGCGCCGGCGCTCCGCGCTCAGTGTCTGGCGGTGTTGGGTGAGATCCCGGGATGACTCATCGCACGCTCAGAGCCGTCAGTGCCGAGTCAGAGGAATGTTATGGGGACTCCTCGTCATGTGACCGGAGCGTGTGAAGAGCACCTGTCCCCACATCTACGGTGTGTCATCTGTGGCTCCGCCCCCGCCATGTCTGTACGCAGTCACTGCATGCCGCGGGATCTCCATTGTAAAGAGGACCGGTCATGTTCATCCGCAACCTTGACCCGTCTCTATGGCCCCCCCATTGTACCCCAATAATACTTTGTGATAGATGACTCCATGACACGCCGGGTGACACACTGACTGTTGGCTGACACGCCGGGTGACACACTGACTGTTGGCTGACACGCCGGGTGACGCACTGACCGTTGGCTGACACGCCGGGTGACGCACTGACTGTTGGGTGACACGCCGGGTGACAGTCGGTGTTTTGGGGCGCTGTGACCGCACTGAATACAACGATCACACAAGGATAAGGATCTCTATCTGTAGACATGTGACCGTCACTCTCAGATCTGATTGGCTCTCAGCTGGAAGTCGGATCCTCATCCCGGGGGCTTGGCTTTGGGCCCGGGCCCCCCCCCCCACCCCCACACTGCCAGAAGCCTTCCGATTGGCTGACAGAGCACACAGAGCAGGTCAGAGGGAAGTCAGTCTGTGCTGCTCATCCAGGGTACAGGCGAACACCATAGGGTGGCGATGGTGACGGCGCAGAGGCCTCGTCGGACGCTGTAGACGGCGGGGCTCATCCTCCTTCCCTGCTATCCTTCCACATGATGAAGAAACGGCGGAGCGTCAAA